ACGCTGTTCACGAAAATCAGCCATTGCAAAAACGACGATCACACATAACAGTTGTCCCTATAAACTCTGCCGAAACTAGTCCTTACCTTCTGAAGCAACGGTAGTCGGCTTATGGACTCAGGAATGTCAGCTCTATGCGCTCATAGCGTCAAAACATGGTACTACAAAAGCTCTGCCCACAAAAAAATTAGTTTGGTTTCTTTTGGGTACCCCATCGTACACCAACTTTCCATGTTCCACTTATTTCTTTGTATAAATACCCTAAAACTGTGTAACATTATATTATCATGCTTATATAGGAAGCCAGGAGAGTGTAGTTGGTATAGTGACTGGCTACAGAGTGGACGACCGAGGGGTCAGAGTTCAAGTCCCACTAGGGTCAAGAATTTTCTCTTCTCCACATTGTCCAGAACAACTCTGTGGCCCGCCCAGCCTCCTATTCAATGGGTACCAGGGGCTCTTTACCTGGGGGTAAAGCTGACCACTCAGCTCCAACTAGTGCTGAAGTCAAGAAAATGTGGCTCTATATATTCATCCTCCCATACGCCTTCATGGCACAGTGCTTAATTAGTTACGCACAGGGATAATTCTTACCTTTTATTTACGTGTTTTGGTGCAATGATATACTGACAACCCACAGTTCAAATAATTTTCTTGTCCAGCTATGATCTGGCCCCAAGGATGCTGGATTTGACAGATTCAACCTGCACATGTTAATATCTCCGTCCTAACAGAATCACCCACTTTCTTGTAGTTTAGGTACAGATGAGACTGGCCTGTAATATTCCCACTTATTTCCACGCATCTGACAGATGCAGAATATGTGAATCCAGAGTTCACCTTTCCATCAAAGCTCAGACATATGGTAAAGGTAGAGTTGCCTGTGCACTTAATTAATTAAGCACTATGCCAAGAGAAACATAAAAGGAGTGGAGGTATATCTCCACCATTCTTGACCTTGGCACTAGGTGGAGGCAAATAGTCAGCTTCACACCCTGGATGCTTTACCCCCAGGAAAATCATCCCCCCCCCCCCCCCCCCGACCCACTTGGTNGTGGACCCACTTCTGTCCAGCTACTTTTACTATTAATGTGCTATAAATAAATGTTATTATTCTCTACTGTTATGAACATATAACTGATATGAATCCACAATAGGTTTGAAAGTGCGGTCATTACACATACTTGATGCTTGATTGTTTTATTGGTTTGCAAAAGTATGTCTATGCTATTCTGTATCACACATACATGATGCTACCTAGTAATGCATGATAATGAATACACATATACTAGCAAATTCAGACTGTGCAATTTTATCCTACTTTGTTCAGACTAAACCATTATGGCAGCACCATTCCAGCTAAATTATGAAACTGGAGAAATGGTGTTTCTTCATAAATATTTCACACATAAAAATATTATATTCATACAAGTACATGGATATAATCTTACAAACAACTTTCATCCCCACCAAGAGTATACATGTTCATGTGCACATAAACGTACATATTTACAACCACAACAATCAATCATTTGAAATATAGCTCACCTCAGGCTCAGCCTTTATTACGCAAGGCGATGATGCTATGTAATCCTCATCACTTCTCTCACCAATGGAACCTTCTTCACTCAGATCATCCACATTGTTTTCTACTTTTATAAAAATAGTGTTCTGCTGTAAAATTAATAACAGAAGACAGTTCTGTTAGATGATACAATTCATATGCTCTCAACACAAACGCAAGAGAAAAGACAGCATGAGCAATATGGAACTTCTAACATCCTAATACAAAGGCTATTCAGAAAGTAACCTTCAGCAAGCTGTTAGCAAAACAAGCAATTAGAAAAAAAATCTTGCATACAAAAGAATACATACATGCTTAAGCTACTTCTCAACGTAGTCATTGCTGGAATTGTGACACTTGTTTCATGGAATAAGTTTTTCTGTGCCTCTGTCAAAGAAGTCTGTCGCCTGTCAGATCAGCCACTTCTTTTGCACCTGCCATCAACTTAATGTTGCAGCACTGTGACTGCAACCAGATCTTCACATAGGTAAACAGGCGGCAGTCACTCGGAGTGAGATCAGGGCTGCAAGGCGGGTGGTCAAAACAACTCCCAGTTGAAATGCTCCAGCAGTGCTTGAGTGTGAGCAGTCATACTCTTATGGAGACACACACTGTCACAAAGGAGCACTACACTGGATGTCAGCATTCCATGCCTTTTGTTCTGAATGGCCCTAAGCAGTCTTTTTTAGTGTCTTGTAATACACTTCTTATGTTATTGTGGTCCTTTGCTGCATATATTCCACCACCAGCACTCCTTTCCTGTCCCAGAAAAGAGCTGCCATCAGCTTTCTGATAGGCAGATGTTTGAACTTTTTTTTTGGATTGGTGAATGTGTTTCCACTGCTTTGACTGCTCTTTGGTTTCAACATTCACAAATTAAATCCAGGTTTCATCACCTGTTATTTGTACAATGTGACTTGAGAAATTCATTGTCATTTTGATAGTATGGCTCTAAAAAAGTCAAAGCTGAAGGAATTCTCTGCATTTTGTGTGCACCTGTGATCATTTTCAGAATCCATCTTGCACAAAACTTATGACAGCCTATCCTAAATGTGATAATCTCACAGAGAACAGTACATAAAATTTGTGGAAATGCACACAAAAGTTCTGAAATTGTGAAGCACCATCTTTCACAGATCTGTTGGTCAATACTTTGAACAAGATACTCACTCATTAGACATGGCCAACCACTTTGCACTTCATCATGAACGTTTGTTGGCCAATCTTTTAACATTCTACATCACTGTCTTAAGTTCCTTCACCCATTACATTTTGACTATAAACTGTGCATAATTCACTATGGATTTCTGCAGCACTCATGATTTTAGTACAAAGAAAGTTGATAACAGCTCAAATTTTGCAGCTGGCAGGATTATCAATCACAGGACACATCATAACTCACTCTACTGGACAAGAACAAACACTAGGTCACCAGTTATGTGATGATTTATAAGGCAATGAGTCATGTGACACTACCTTGTGTGCATGAGCTCTGCCCTCTTCCTATATTAGTTGACTAAAATGAATGGAAGTTACTTTCTGAATAGCCCCTGAACCATTAATGCACAGCCCCAGGAACAGAACAGGGTGCGCCCATATATAACACTACAAATATTAGCAGGTGAAAATGGTATCTGACCATTCCTCTTAACACAAAAAGTTCTGAGAGAAGAGAAATAAAGCAATGCCACATGCTGGAACAAACTAATGACTCTTGTGTTAATGAAGCAACCAACTTATAAGCATCTTCCTTTGGCATTGTTGGTACAAAATCTGTTAGTTAGTCTGTCAGGTTCAATCTTCATGTAAAAAATTTTTTAAATACCCATGTTTTTAAAGCAAGTTTGATAGCTGATTACTGAATTACTCATAAGACAGTACACAAATGACCAGAGTTTGGCATTCAATCTTGTTCTGTGAGTTATGGTGAACCTATTGGAATGGAAGATGTCAATGTGCGGAATCTGAAGGGTCGCCAAATTTTCTCTCATAAAATTTCCCTGTGCTCACTTAATCAAGCACCATGCCACGAAAGTGGACGCATAGATCCATGTATTCTTAACCTTGGCACTTGATGGAGGTGAGCAGTCAGCTTCATGCCCCTGCTACTTCACCCCCCAGGGAAGGAGTCCCAGGTACCCATCAGATACGCTGGTTGGGGCCCACAGACAGTCTGGATAGAAGAGAAAAACTGCTTGCATCATAAATAGTAACTACAGCAATTACCATAAAGGAAGACAAAACGCAGTGGAAACCACTGTTAGTATTGCTCAAATTAAGGCTTTCTTTCATTTTACACTCAATTTCACTGACCTCAAGTCAATAATCTGTGTTAAATTTCCTCAATTTCATATTTTCCTTAGTTTCGTGTTCAAATCTACTGTTCCTGCAAAGACAACTTAAACTGACATTTCTTCATATTACAATCCCACTTTGCTGAACCACATAAACCGAAAGCCATGCTACTGACATACCTAACCCTTTTAATACATACAACTAGGTTTACAGAATTGAGAATATGGAAAATTAATATTAACACATGCTTGCCACAGGGGTATGTGGTAGCACAGTTGGTTGGGGCACTATGCTACAAGCCAAAAGGTCACAAGTTTTCCAATTGACCTAATCCTTCCAGCTGTACTATGGTCCTGGGTTTGACTCAGCCTCCAACAGAAATGAATACCAGAAATCTTCTTGGGGGTAAAGAACAGCTGGTGCGTAAGGCTGACAACCTCACCGCCATGTGGGAGCCTTGAACTCTCATATCCACATGGGCCTCCAAGGCCTGTTACAGGGATAGCTTTACAGTTTTCCCTTTTTTTTTATGTGCTTGCCACAAAATAGTTTCTTTGGCCAATCCAATGAACATGATGATAGAATTGTTTTATGTGCACACAAGCACAGAAGACTCACCGTGCTCTCCATCAGAGCAGGATATATTCTTTAAATTCTCTGCAATACAATTTTTGGTACTCTCGTTGTGAAAAACTGCCAGAATCTTTTAAGCATAGGGTTCTGTAAGATTGTGGCCTACAAGAAGCCCAGTGATACAGCTTCACAGTTCTAACACATGTATCTAACTTAGAAGAACATTTTCCCACATTCTGAAAGGAAACATGTTAACATAAATGGTATTTAATCAACTCTCATTCCATGAAAATATATTTATGTTCGTATGAAAAGAACATTCACAGTGCAATACAATGCAGGTACATCATGCACATATCTTTCTAACATAGTCTCAGTGGCATGAACAAAAGCCATCGCACTTCTAGAACACCTCTCTATTATCTTCATGGGGTGCATCCTGTTGTGTGTTTCACACGCACGCATATATATATTTATATATGTATGTTTTTTCAGTTGTACAAGACCATCATCAGGCAGTTAATACAGGAATACATACAGTCATTGAAATAATGATATGGATCAGTATACCAGTGCAATGTGTCATATTATATAATAACAGAAAATTGTGTCAAGTTTGTATTATAAATATGTATAAAATAGAAGATACATAAAATAAAAGATAAAAAATTAATGAAATATATACCATGTATCTAAAGCATTAGGGGATATTATGTTACAGAAATATTAAATATATTAAAACTATTAAGTGTGAGAGGTTACGAATATGTATGCCTGGTTAATTCAATAAGGTTCCGATGTAGTATTGGGCATGTTATGTCATTTGTGGATATTTTGTTGTTAGAAGCTTTCTATGTCGTAAAGCCAGGTCATAGAGCCCAGAGACAAGTTTCTATGATATACAGGTTGTTAATGTGTAACGTGTGGGGTGTGCAAATTTCCGATATGCATAATGCAACAACGATGAACATTTATTCAGCTGGAGTACCTGCTTACAATCAGATGGCTCACTGCAAGCAAAATATGTATGGAGAGGTATTTCAAGCCTTTGCTTTTGAGAAAGACCAATTCCTGCCCAGATATGTCACGCAAAACTCTCACTGTTCTGATCTCCTTCACTTTAGATGTATACTGGGATTCACTGCAGACTGCACACAGGAGTTATTGTGAAATGCATGAAACAGGGGTCTGATATGTCTCTGGCTGTTGCTGAGAACAGGAGTCTGTGGAAAGAGCAGTTTTTACAACAGTTTCTAAGGGCTGAAAGGGAATGAAGTGTTGCATTTTAATTTACTAAAACAAAAACATCAGAGCAGGTCATTGTAGAGATTAAAGCTACAAAAAAACAGACCAATGTGCACAATGTGTAGCAAAAGATCTGTAGCCACATTGTTTACTTACGTTTCAATTAATTATAAATATTCTCAATTTTTATATGTACATACATTTTTTCATTTTTCCACTACATGTTTCACAGAATGTGATTTCATGAATTCCACTCTGTTCTACCTGCAGAAGTAGTTCCAATGTTCCTACTAGTTTTACCAAATAAAAATTTGGTTATTCTTTATAAACTCTCCATTGTGCAGACCAAACAATGGGCAGTTTGGCAACGTAGCCCTTTCAAAGAAAAACGTACATTGCAGGCTTCCAAATGGTAACATAAAAATTCTGAACCAAGTGATAGAAGGCAAGTTGTGACAAAACAAAAGTTAATGGCTGAATCACTTGATGAATTACGAATTATGGCAAACCAGACAAAAACATTACAGCAAATAAAAATACAGCTTCAAAAAATCAAAACTGTGACCACAGACTAGATGTGGAACTGATGGTACGATCATACAACAAAGTAAACTGCACGATCAAGAAATATTTTGGCAAACAAATGTCAACAGAAACGAATACAAATATACACAACATAAAAGGGAAAGGAACATTGCAATGCCTTTTGGCCAGGGGGTTGAAGAATGTCTCAAACGACAGGGAGATGCACACATAAGACTTCTAAGAACTTTACTAGGTATTAAAAATTTTCATCACACACGAAATTATGATGCCAAAGAAAAATTAAATGTTTAAAACAATATTGGTAGAATTTTTAATGCCACGAAGTTGGTTCCCACATATATGGAATGAAGGCAACAAAAAAATGCACAGCAGACAATAGATCATTGGTGCACAAACTATGGAGGGCCAAAAAACGACGGAAAGACCAAACAGTACTACAATTCTGGGACCTGGCAACTATCATACAGATACTTGTGTTTCTAATGATGGCATTTCTTGGTTTTCATTGTTTCCATATTGTACCTACAACGTGCATATGTCAGTTTCATTTATGTCATTCGTCACTGAAAATACACCAAATCATTTCCTTCCACACTACATACTAGTATGTGTAATATTTACGAACGCATTTGTTTATTCGAATTAAGATTGGCGTCACCGCAAGCATAACTCCATACACCTCGAATAATCCTCCATTGTGTACACATGGCATGTAACATAAACAATTTATCTGAAAAAAATATCCCGTGGAAGACAATATTTCCCGTAATTACTACATCGCACCTGCTACTAGCGTGGAGCAGCATTATTTAAGACAGTGGTTCTCAAGGGGGATCATATGCCCCTCCCAGAGGGCCATGCCATATTTCGGTGGGCAACACGCAAAAGTCGGAAAACTGGGACCCATGGTAGCTGTTAAGTGGGCTACGAAAATTTCACTTCTAAAATAAAATTATTAATAATATAAAAATAAATAAAAATGTCAAATGGTCGGTACTTATATTAACACAATAACTCAATATCCTTGTTTTTGTGTACCTCACTTAGTAGAGACAAAACCTATTGTACTTAAATGACAACCTTAAATCTGGGAATTCCAAGTACTCGTAAACAGGTACTCGCCTTCTAGGAGAAGGCGAAGTCCTACAGAAGAAATTAGCTGGAAGAATTATCTTCTATTTTCTTACATATCTTCTGCTCCTATCATGAGTTTTACCGCTACCTTTTACGTAAATTTCAGGTGTTCTTCAGTTCAGTATTCGTAGTGTTTAGAAGATAACCTTTTTCTGCTCAAGTTATAGTATTGTGGGCGTTCCCTACTTTGAAGGTAATTTACAAACTCCAGTTACTATTTTTGGACAACTAAGCATTATAGTTCATAATATGAACTTTCATCGCAAATACACTAGTACTCGTAGCTTTCAATAGAATTTGAATACCCTCCCTTTACAAAAGAAAAATGTTGTGAATTGCTTACAGCAGTCTTGTATTTATTTGAAATAGAATGGCTTCCGAAGTAATTTCTATAAATACTGACTTCCATAATTTTCCACATATTTAAAAATTAGAAATAGGGCAGTCATAAATTTTAAAAACTCAAACTGACAAAAACTGTTTGTTCCCATGGAAAAATTTGCTTGGTTTATATTCAAAGGTATAGATACACTTTCAATGTTGGTAAAGTACATATTTATTACAAATATTACATTATTTGGAATGTTCTTGCGGGTAAAGGGCGGCTGACAACCTTACCGCCATCTATGAGACGATTGTCTAGAAAATGTGGGAACCTCAACATCTCACAACCCTATGGCCCTCCACGGCCTGTTACAGGGATAACTTTACTTCTTTTTTACTTACATTTATTATAATTATACAATATGAGGGGTGGGGCCACAGAAGTGAATGAATCTCAGAATGGGCCACGAGCAAAGAAAAAAAAAAGTTAAGAACCACTGTTTTAATACATGCCACAAATTACGAAGGCAACTCAACTCTAATCATGGATCGATGCATGCGGACTAATAATTCAACACTGAAAACTGCACAACAGAATATGAACTATCGAATAGTTTGAATATTTAAATGCATCCGATTTGCACCTTGCAATGGAAAACCGAAAGCTACTGTAACCGTAAATTCCTCGCTAAAATTATTTAATGGTGGTCATGACCACATTATACATTGTTTTCACACCCTGAGAGTCGCTCCTACGGCGAGGTACCATCCCGGGACTGTCTAGTTGTAATTCAACAGAGTTCCCCTTAGGGTTATGGTGCCACTATTGTCATTAATGTCGCCAGTTTGCTCATAATGTTATCTTCCGTGAGTTATAGGGAGGTATTGTAGCCACGACTATTGCTCGACTATTGCTTTGACCCAGGGATACGAGTGCTTTGGATATGGGAGTGGAACACACTTCGGGGTTTATGAATCCGGGGGCTCCAGAACACACACACCGTGTATTGCACTTTTACATTAAAATTGCTTACAGTTAGTGACACTCTTTACATAAGTCCTTCAAGTTAGTCGCTCCGTCACTCTTAACCTTTTCACACCAAATCGCTCCCAGCTCGCTGACCATACACACCATTGGCTAGCTGCCCGCTCCCTTCCGCGTTTTCATTTCAACTCTGCACCTCCGCTCCCTATAACCGGCTGTCTCCTTTTTTTAAAATCTCCCCAGTGGGCATAAAACAAAAACAAGAGAAAGCCAAGGGTCGAGCCCGGATTCTGTCCTACATTTGTTTGTTTCGAGATGTCAATCATATACCTTTTCAGGTCTCCAAGGCACCCGAGCAGGGAAACCAAGATCCCTACTACTAAACAATGTCAACCCATGGATTTATGACACTAGGAGCAAATTGGCGACGTTAAGGACAATATTGACACGCTAAGCCTAAAGAGGATAATGTTGAATTACAACTAGACGGTCCCGGGATGGTATCTCGCCGGAGTAGCGGCTCTCGGGGTGTGAAACAATGCATAAACTGGTCATAACCATAATTAAATAATATCCAGCGAGAGACCTACGGTTACAGTATTTTGGAAAATCAGTCCTTGCTTTTATTCTGAATCTCCCAGGAGGAATGTCACCCTAATTGCGTTTGGTTCCTTACTTAATGTGCGTCTTGTAACGATAAAATCTGAAATGAATGTTTGAAAATAACATCCTTCCCAGACAAGCTAAATGCTGGACTGGCGCCCATTATGAGAATCCGGCCGTAACCCTTTCCAAGTGATGGCCACTTAAGGGTTGTAACCGGGTGTTACCTGTATGTTAGAGATTAAGAGGCAGTCGGTTATAAGGAGTGGAAGTGGACGGTTGTTGAAGTTTAGACAGGGAACAAAGAAGTGAGTTACAGTAAGGGTGGCGAGTAGTGTGTATGGTCAGGGAGCTGAGAGCGAATTGGTGTGAAAAAGTTATGATGACTCTGAGAGGGTTGCTTGGAGAACTAATGTAAAGCTTGACAATCACTTTACGCAATTTTAATTTAAAACAGTAATACATGGAGTTGGGGCACGCGGTAGCGTAGTTGGTTGAGGCACTATGCTACAAGCCGGAAGGTCGTGGGTTCAAGTCCCCATGAGGTCACTGGATTGTTTCAATTGACCTCATCCTTCCGGCCGCACTATGGCCCTGGGGTCGACTTAACCTCTAACAGAAAAAAGTACCAGGAATATTCTTGGAATATTCTTAGGGGTAAAGGGCAGCAGGCGAGTAAGGCTGACAACCTTACCGCCATCTGTGAGCTGACTGTCTAGATAATGTGGGACGTCTCACCACCCTATGGGCCTCCACGGCCTGTTACAGGGATAGTTTTACTTTTTTCTTTACTTTTAATACACGGTGTTGGTTCTGGAGACCCTGTAATTCATAAACATCGTAGAGTGTTCCCTTCCTATATCCAAAGCACTCGTATCCCTGGGTCAAAGGTCTCATCTCGAGCGATAGTCCTGGCATCTGTACCTCGGTGGTCGACTGCAATACTATTCCCTCCTGTGGATTTCGTACACTCCGATCGTTTGCGTTTTCTCTTTGAAATCCTATTTTAAGGAAATAAGACGTACAGTTTAATTTGAAAACCTCACGCTGGTAACTATGTCCATCTCTATCTACAGCCACAGTGATCCGTAAACCGTTGAACCGGGGAATCAGCCGACATAGCAGCAAGCAGAATAAAGATCGGTACGGACCAGATCAGATTTATAGAGCGGCTTTGTGATTCGTTCAAAGGATCGATGGCCTTGGCACTACATTTCTTTTAATTCGCTTAATGGGGGGTGGAGTCCAACTGGGTCCACTCGGCACGGCGGCCACTGATTGGCCTATTGTAGCCTGCCCCGGGTGATTATGATGGAGAATTTGGTGGAATGAAGATTGGCAGGGGAAACCGAAGTACCCGGAGAAAACCCGCTCCAGCGTCACTTAGTCCACCACAAATCCCACTTGACCAGACCCGGGATCGAACCCGGGCCGCCGCGGTGAGAAGCCAGCGACTAACCGCTTGAGCTATGGCGCGGCCTAACACGCGTAATTAGTTCAATTACCGTGGACCAAATTCAGAAAGTATCGTATAATTTATTTATGTGATGCAAGCAGAAGGGGGTCACTTTCAACGCCTGTTATAAAGCACAGTAAGTTTTTGTTATCTGTTTACAGTATTCCTATAAATGTATGCATGTACAGAAACTGATGTGAGGGAATCAGCGACACGACTGCACTCTCGCTAGCGGGGAAAGTCACAGTAGTCGTGGAGAAAGGATCCATCCGCTCTACGCTAGCGAGAGTGCGCACGTTTATCAGCGCTGATGAGTCATTCCGCTATCGGCAGTTACAGCAGCAATCTGTGAGAAATGTTGTATTCAACGCACGCTGCTGCCAGGTTTCCTCGATGATTGAACGCCCTGTATTTTGATGTCGTTACAAGTTTCCTTTCTTTCTAGGACACTTGCCTATATTCTAGGAAAAAGGAAATAAACACAGAAGGGATGGGTACCATGCAGTGAAAACTGCCGAATAATTGGGCTATTGCAGTCTATCAAATTCGAATCAAGAGAAAACAGAATAGTACAATTCGCTTTATTCACAAACAACCCACATTCAGGTTTTGTTATTAATTCAGAAGTCATCATGAGAACATTTCATGTGTATCCAGAACTTCTGGATCACGTATCAGCTGCAAGCGTGGGCTGTGGCGGCACGTTTCCGCCTCGTTGGTAAGCACGGATTATCAACAACTCGGTGCCACAGGCAAGGATATGTAAAATTAACATCGGAAAGGTATGCATGCACCATCTGTGTATCACACACGGAGATCGGGACGAGGGTGTTGGGAACGGTAGCCCAGTCGGCAAAAGACTTCCACCATTCCTTCCTCCCTTAACTTCCGCCCAGTATTACTTACATCATACCTACAAGTAATTTTGAAGCCCCGATGCTGCTTAGGAACTAAACTTCGTCTTCAGGAAAACTAGTCCTCACGTTGGTTACTCATAACTAGGGACCGGATATTTATGCCCTAATAATCCCTTAAAGGTTAAATATGTATGCATTTATGCATGAAACACTTCCGAAATATGCACTAAAATATGCACATAAAAATTTATACCAAATATTAAAATTGATTTTACATTATTTTAAGACCAACAAATCAATATTTAAGTTCATTTTATGTAATCACTGAATGATTCA